AGAACGACATGAGGGTGAGTAATTAATGACAGAATTTTCATTTTAAAATTAATTTTTTGGGTGAACTAACCCTTTAAACTCACAGCACTTAGAGATGAAGTTCATGGAGCAGCATTTACTGCTAACCGCTCAGAGACAATGTTATCATGAGCAACTTGTGTGAAAATCTCATAGCACTTCACTATGAAACACACACTAGCCTAGATTATCTAATCATATAATTACAATGCAGTCTTTTGATAATCGTGATAAACCATATTGCATTCTCAGGCATTGTTAGAATTAGTAAACAAAGTTCCAGGCCAACTGGCGGGTAACACTGTTTCATATACTCAGATTTTTACTCACATTTACTGCTTGTTGAGTGTTAATTTTAGGCCCTGAATACAGGTTTGGAACGAGAGGGAGTATATATATATATATATATATATGATGACAGAATTTAAATTCCTCTCTCTTTCTGTCCCACTGTCCTCTACAGGTCCTACTGTCCCGGGAGATGTGCAGGTTCAGTTGGCGCCGGGTCGCTCTATCGATCTGGCAGTGTATTGGCAGGTAGTCCGTGGTGCAGATGCGTACACTGCTGTGAGCTCAACGGGCCAAAACTGCAGTTCCTCCTTAGGCACCTACTGCATAATCAGTCCCCTCAGCTGCAGCCAGAACCACACCATCACCGTCACAGCACAGAATGAGGCCGGACCCAGTGAACCTTCAGCTCCACAGGACCTTCTCACCTGTAGATTTTACTCACACACACACACACACATACAAAACCACACATATGCATTAATAAAGAGTTGTGCAGTTCTTTGTTGTCTTCTTTGAATCATTTTCAGTCCCATGTCCTCCTGAGCTGGTGTGGATTGAGGAGCCGACCACAGGGAACTGTTCCGTCACATGGTCTGAGGTTCAGTGGGTGGATTACTATATTGCCTATGTGAAGAGAGATGACGGCTTAGAGGAAAACTGCAACACCACTGGCACGACCTGCTACTTCCAGTGCATATGTGGATACACGTACCTCTCAACTGTGTTCACTTACAACCTGGCCGGGACCAGTCCACCGGGTCAAATAGTCAACTATACTACAAGTCTGTATTTCATGCACATAGATTTACATTTATTTATTTAACAGATGCAATTTTGCACAAGAATATTTGGTACGAAATCTGATATGCATCTCTCTCTGTCCTCAGTCCCCTGCTGTCCAAACAATTTGTCAGTGTCTCTGATTTCCACCGAGACTTTAGAGATTTCGTGGTCTTCAGTTCGAGGAGCTGAGTTATACGAGACGATCGCTGCAGACGGAAGCGAATGGATCCACTGCAACGACACGGCTCCTGTGTGTGCACTCTCTGATCTCACCTGCGACAGCCTGTATAGTGTGGTGGTGCGGCCCTGCAGTGAGACACAAGGATGCAATAACACC